AAAAAATCATAATGTGGTTTTTCTATTTCAATTTTTTATGATTAGGTCTACAGTATGTACTCATGTTTTATGTCAGTGTTTTAACGTGAACAAAATTAAACATTAATATATGTGTTTTTCTTAATTATTAAGATTGATTAAATTATTAATGTTACAATTGTCAGATTTTATTCCATTCTGTAAGTGGCGGGTTTTCTCTGTTGAATAAGATTACAGTGTGAAGAAATGAATACAACGATCTCACGACGATGTGACGATGATCAGAATTTTACTAAAATATACTGTGTACTTCATTTTAATCCTATTGAAGAAAAAGGATGCAGAAACTGTAATTCCGTATTTACATTTAATTTTAATTATAAATAACTTGTGGCCGAGATGACGTGGCCGAGTTGACTTGTGGCCGAGTTGACTGCAGCCGAAATTTTTGTGGCCGAGTTGATTTGTGGCCGAGTTGACTTGTGGCCGAGTTGACTGTGGCCGAGTTGACTTGTGGCCGAGTTGACCTGCACCCTTAGCTATAGGTTAGGCCTGCAGGCCCCAGTTGTTGCGGGTCATGAACAAAGGCGGATCCAGAGATGTCTGACAAGGAGGAGGCCCAGTTGAAGAAAAACACTACTCTAGGGGGTCATGTCCTGTTAAAAGTTTTTGTAGACGCCCAGAAATAACCTCTGAGATGTTTTGGGCGATCAGTAACTTCTTTTTCTTTCTTTGTTTTTGTTTTCTTTTTGACTTTCCTAAATCCGCCCCTCATTAATTAGGACATTAGTGGAGTAAACATCCCTACCCGGTAATGCACTGTTTAGTTAGGGTGTGGTATAGGGGTCGGATAGGACCTTTGTTGAGTGTCCCTACCCTGGTTATGCATAGTTTGGTTAGGGTGAGGTATGCCAGTCATTAAAGTAACGTTCCTACCCCGGTAATGGGTTGTTGGTAAAAATGGCACCAGTAAAAATGGCCCAGATAAAAATGGCCCCAAATGACAAGTACTGTAGGTAAAAATGGCCCCAATGAAAAAATTCAGTATATAGAAATATGATTTTTTTTTTTTTTTAATCTTCAAATATTTAAATACTGTAATAAGCAAGAATTGAATCAATAAATAAAAAATGGCCCTCAATTATAAAATTCAAAAAAAAAAAATGTAAATGCTGTAAAATACCCTGTAGCAAAAATTGGGTAGCTCTAGGAGTACCCTGCTGATTGATTAATTAACAGATCTTTTTTGTATGGGCGGCTGTTAAGCCTAAGTATTTTTTAAAATTATTATTATTAGATATTATTACTATATGTGGTATTGCTAAATTCCCACAAACCTCCCAAAACCCACTGTAGAAACCAAACAATTCAATTGTGATTGACTCACTTGGTATATCAATAAGAAATTAAATATTCATAAAAACCTATTTTTTGGTTAAAATGTTGATTTTTTTGTGAAAAAATACTTGCAAATACACCACAAACCTCCAAACACAATGCGAACCCTATCCAAACTCTTTAATTATGATTGTAGAACTCTCTTTTTCTTTAAAAAAAAATAATAATTTGATGTTCATATTAACCCATTGTTTGTGGGGTTTACCAATACCTGGATTAAATTTCTGGAAAATTGTGATTCCGCTTCCGTGAAATTGGCCAAAAATAAATTATTTTAGTATTAATAAATGCATGATTTATGTTCATTTATTGATTATGTTGTTGCTATTTTTGAACATTTAAATGAAAAAAAATAATAAAAAGTGTTCTTCATGGCTTTTTTTTATCTTTGAATATTTCATCATTGAATATGTAATTCCTGCAAAAAGTAAAATGTAAATAGCAATTTATTTGATGTTAGATTCCTTTTAAAAACTAAATTATTTCAGTTAAAAAAATGTATATAATGATTTTAAAAAAATCAGTTTTAATACAGAATTTTATTATTGGGCACATTTTTACCTACCTGTCATCTGGGGCCATTTTTATCGGGGCCATTTTTACCAGGGCCATTTTTACTGGGGCCATTTTTTTCCTGGGCCATTTTTTCCTGGGCTGTTTTTATCGGGGCCATTCTTAACGTACACCCCGGTAATGCATAGTTCGGTTTCCTTTTATAATTTTTTGTTATTCATTGTGTTTCATGCTATGGTTATATAATTCCGAAATAAAATTAAATTGAATTGTAATCTGAATTTGAATCTGTTTAACATTAATACCCAACAGAAAGATCATACAATGTTTTATACTCTTGTGTTTTAGCCTGGTTTTACTAAAATGGCATGGTACCAAACATTCTTGGTGACATTGGTTGGAATCTTGTTGGTTATCAAATGCACTCCAAATGCTGGTATGGACAGAATGCAAATTAAATAATGCATGCTTCGTTATACTCTATATTCTATATTCTATTTTACATTCTGTATTTAAAATCTCATACATTATATATATGTTTCA